TTTTTTTTTAATGATTTACAAAAAACATTTCAAGTCTCAGATTTGTTCTAATACAATTAAATAAATATAGAAAGAGGCCGAAACTTTTTACAGTGTCCTATCAATTATTTAAAATTATATTCTAGTCCCTTTGAAATGTCCTAAAATAAAAAAATATATTTAAAAAGACAAAACAAAAACCACATTGCTTCATTTCTCAGTTGAGTATGTTAAATGTCAATGAATTTACTGTCATGTTTTTGCAGTTTTGCTTCATGCTTACAACCACAGAGCATAGATTAAAATACAAAAATAAATTAAAGTAAACATTTAATTAGAATTTCTATGGTCAGTTACAATGTCATCATATTACTTTCCTCCTGCCATAGGAAAAGCATGTTGCCATTGTAACTGATATGAATTTTAGTAACACCAACACACACTAAAAAGGAAATTATTTTGAATCCCCTGGATGTTTACACAGTTTACAGGTACTGCAGGCCATCGGTGAGGGTTATTTTGACGTTCAGTGAGAACTGGCTGATTTAGTTTTGCAGGTTGGCACCAGGAAATAAATGGTAGAGTAATACATCTTTATTTTTTCTAGTCTCTGCGAGAGTTTCAGCCTTTTCATTTTGGTATTTAAAGGAATGATGTATACACAACTCATTTTAGTCTCCAGCTAGATTTTGCACGTCATGCCATCAATATAAATCCATCAAAGGCCAACAGTGACAGCTGTTCATTTAATGGAAATGTCACCACTCATTAATGACACAGTGTATACTTTGCAAAACAGAGAACCTGGTTTATTACCGTTCGACTCCATCCACCACAGATATTACAGAGCAGATTCACAAGTATTAAGCTTTTTTTATATAACAGCAGCTTTTTTTCTCCACACTCTGTTCCCCTGACCCCCGATCCCCCCTGCCTCCTACTAGGGAAAAGCATTACAGGTGCACAATTATATTTGGTGTAAAGACCAGCCCCTCAAATCATTCAGCTGTTATCAGTCTCACTGTGAGGTCTTTCGTTTGTTTTTGTATTACTGTAGGATTTTGGTACTTTTTTTTTTCCCCTCTTTCTTTTTGACAGAGCTGCAAATAGGATATACATCCACTATCATTCACTGCAGGCACCAGGCTCCTCCTCCTCATTTCCACACAGATCCGACATTTAGAAGAGGGGGAATTACAATTGTCTACTGTATAAAAATGTACAGTGGCTTTATTGACATACATTCCATAGGTTAAACAGCTGCAAAATAGGAGGCACACCCAGTATTGCACTTCATTAAAAGTTCTGGCTCAAAACATAACCCAGAATATCAAACAAAACTGAAGTGAAGAGTAGCAACTTCGGAATACAGCTATTTTGAATAGTATCATTATATACAAGATTAGATAAATCGTACACTATTTTCCTCCCAAACATAATTATTTTCAACAGTCTGATATTTTTTTTTTGTCCATCAACCCATGATGCACTTGACAGTGGAGAATACTGTGCAAGATTACGAAAAAGTTTACATACAACAATATTTTAAATTTATAGTTAGGAAGCTGGAAATACGGCCCGTTCCTTTTTCTCTTTTTTTTTTAAACCCACGCTGATCCACAGTTGCCTTTAAGCAAATGTATTTCATATTCAATGTTTAATCTTGTATTGTTACACTTCAGTGATCAGGAGGTGTGCAACGTCTATAGAAGCCGAGGGAGTACAACGGCCGCATGCAAACAAGTCACAAGATATTTTCTTCTTTTTTTTTTCTTCTTCTTTTTTTAAAATTTTTTTTTTCTTTCCCCCCCCCCCCCCCCACACCCCATTCAGGTTACTCTGAATCCAAAGTAGCCACAGCTTGTGTTTGTAGCAGAGCCCGGATACTGATGTTGGTAGAGGAGCAGACCTGAGGACTCTTGGCGTAGGGTAGAAACCTGGTCCGGTGTCCAGGAGACCTGACAATGCAAGAGCCGAGCTTCACGGCTGAGCTTCAGCAGCAGCCAGAAATCACAGTAGACAAACTGGTTTTCAGTAGAACTCTTGTGTTGTTTAGAAGGTGTGCGCATTTCTGCACACCCCACAGCCGAGGGCAAACTCCTCCCCCGTTTGCGGGTGAACCACATGCAAAGGGCACTCAGTACCCTCCAACTGCTTGCCTTTGGGACCTGTAATAGAAAGGACAAGGATGGCATCTTACTTGTGTTTTCTTATACGGTAGGTATTTCTGTCTGGTATTTGCCGTCAGTCTGACTAATTCAACATTCTCCGAAGAGTGTAGTCAATAGAATCATTGGGCACCTGCAGGACAATGGGGCAGCTCCTCCTTGGGGACGCTGGTCATCCTCTGGAAGTCATCGTGGCAGGCGTTGCAGAAGTGTGTGGTGCCAAAGCAGAAGAACACGGCCACCGAGCAGCAGTACCGGCATTTATACTCCAAGAAGTCTGTGCCGTGCTTGGAGCACATCTGGTGACAAGTGAAGAATAATAAATCAGGGGAAGAGAACATTTAAACATCATTTTTAAAGAAATGGTCACACATTTTGGGAAATTTGCTTATGAGCCTTTCAGCCAAAAGAGAGAAGAAGATTGATACCAGTTTTCTGGCAACCTGGCAGTTTTGACAAGACTCAAGGTAGTCACTGTGCACGGCCAAGAAATTGTCTAGTGAGAAATTCCCTGTAAAATCATGTTTTTTTGTTATGGATTAAACAAGCAAAATATAACATGTTAGTTAGTGGGCTTTCAATGGATTATTTTCACTTCAGACAGCCAGGCTAGCCGTTTCCCTTTGCTTCCAGTCTTTGTGCTATGCTAAGCTAATCGCCTGCTGATTACAGCGTTGTATTAAGAATACAGATATGAGAGCAGTATCAACTTCTCCTTCAACTCTCGGCATTAAAGAGAATAAGTGTAATTCCCAAAAGTTCTGAAAAAAATGTATTTTATTTTATAGTGGCTATAGTAAAGCCAGGGTCCTCCCAGGCTTCATTTACCCACCTGAGCCCTGGACACATCTGAGCATCCTCCACAGATGAGCTCACTGGGGTCGTAGTCGTCTCCCTGTCCGGCCTCTGCATCGCAGCGAGCCTCTCCCCCAAAATAGGCCTGGAAATAATGGCAACCATTAATTTTCAAACCCTAAACAATATCAAAAACATATTTAAAAAATACTTTAAAGTTATGTAGTACCTTCTTGCATTTGAAGCAGACATAGTATGCATATCTGTTCATGGCAAAGCCCGCGGGGTCGTTGTGGAAACGTGCTCCTGGTGTGGCTATTGCCTCACTCTTATGTAGACCCTCATACTCCAGCCTCATCAGAGCCTTTCTCCTCACGTCCTCGTAGAGCTCCTTAATGGGGTCGAGCAGGTCCTTGATCACCGAGTGATTGATTTTGTTCTGGAGGCACACAAAGAAAGAAAGAAACCAGCCCACGTTTATAAAGGTAGTTCTGTTGAGATTACTGTATGTGTCAACAGCATTTCACAGTGAACAAACCAGTCATGGTATTCTAGTAGACTGAGCTTGCTCAACAAAAGCCATTGAGCAAACTGAGCTGAATCAACCTTGGGGTGTGGGGGAAACAGTTCGCCGTCTCTTTGTTTGCTGGGTTAATCTCTTTCAGTCAGAGAGGCTCAGGTAACACCTTACCTTGCAGATGGGACACAGCATGAACCCAAACGTGATGCGGGGCCCGAGCCAGCGATTTTCAAGTACGCGACGAGTACACTGGAGGTGGAACACGTGAGTGCAGTCCAGCTGAGAACAGAACGAAAGGGTTAGACAAGACCAAAAAAATGAAGCGAAACTCTTGCGTGTGACGGACAATCGCTCGTATGTAGAGCTACCTGTACAGCAGGAGCAGCGGAGAGGGCCTCCGTGAAGCAGATCATGCACATGTCGTCTGCATCCTGTTTCAGACAGCCGGTGTTCTTGTCGCAGCCGTGCAGACACGGGAGGCAGGCCTCCTCGTTCTTGACTCCTCCACAGGGGTGTCCACAAGGATGAGTTTTACTGCAGGCCAGTTTAGCGTACTCCTGAGGGGGACGACATGAGAGAAACTGGTGAGTACTTGTATAAAAACACATTTTACTACATGCTGTAAATCTCTGTTGCTTAATACGAGTCTTGCGCAGGTTGGTCCGCTCTGAAGTGGCCGGTCGACGCCTCATCCATTATTTGTAAGACTCGGACTTCAGTGGACGCTTCGGTTCCATCACGCAACACTTGAATCCATACTCATCTTCTCAAATAATGAATCTACAATAAATATTGTTCAACAATATTTCCACTCAGCAAAACCTCGAAAATTCCTCTCAGGAGGAAAGACACTCAACACCAAAATCCTTAGTGTTGGGAACAGGATCTGTGTTTTGTATTAGGTACACTGTTTTAGCATAACTGGTATTTTTCTATCTTGATCAAATATTTTCATAGCTATGTATGTAGCTAATATAGTTATGTTAGAATATAATTCCATATACAGAAAGGAACAAAGAGAAAAGCACCTGTTTTCAGCATAATAATTTAGCCATTTTGTTTATTTTCTTTTTTTGTGTTGCTTTTAATGTTTTGTGTGTTGTGTATATTTTTCAAACTAAAAAAAAAATATACATATATATTTTTCAAGCTTCAACCTTTCTGTCAAAACCGCTAAAATCACCACCTCACGGTTGTCTGTGTCCGCCGAGGACGGGACGGACGGACAAACTACCCGAAAACATATTGCCTCCATCCATGGCTGTCGCCGGCACAGAGGCATAAAAGAAGAACCAGGTGGTTACAGTTGTGATCAAGTTGTCTTGTGAACAGCTGATGTTCAGTACCTGGCAGTCTGGGTCTGAGCAGACACTGCCCACTGCAGACAGCTCGGTGCCATTCCTCGTCCCACAGAACCTGCAGGCATCTGAGCTGCTGGAGGCCGGTTTACCTGCAAAAAAAAAAAGACTTTACTGTTAATAAAAGTTCACACGTTTTTTAAATAACTAATTTGCAGCAATACATATACTCCCACCCCAAAAAAAGCACAGTTGTATGATCTGTTGCCATGTTACCTGTGTGCTCTCTGAACTCCACCATAGCCTTCATAGTCTTAGAGTCGGCCAGGGCCATGAGCCAGAAGAGCTTAGTTCTTCCACAGCCTTCATGGAGATCCACCTTTATAGCCTCCTCTTCCTCCTTGAACACCTGGAAGCAGCCACGAAGACAAGATTAAACACCAGCTCACTCTCCTTCACATTCTTTCCATAAAAAGGTTCATATTATCACCAGTGGGAGAACCGACACTGACCTGTCTCTGGTGAGATCGAGTGCGTCGGTGCAGGTGGAGGAAGCGGTCACAGTCGGTGCAGAGGTTGCCGCACACATTACACAGGATGATAGCTGCTGTCTCGCCATCATCGTGATTGTCACACATGGGCTGTGGATAAGAGGAGGAGGAAAGTTATTATTTCAATAACATATCAGTTATTGTAACTCTGTGTAGCTCCTGGCCTTTCTTATTGTCCTCACCATCTGCTTCTGTTGTCCATCTTTGCCCATCCAGCGACCAGAGGACAGCCTGTCCACATGGTCCTGGTCCAGCACACACAGCGAAGCTAAGGCCAGCCACAGCTGTGAGACAGAGCATGATATAGTATATGGTTAGCTGATACCCAGTGGTTGTAAACGTGCTTTAGGTATGGTGACATTTGTGTGCATACCCTTGTGGTGGCGATACAGCGTACAGGAGACCGATGCTCCTCCTCCATTTTGGTCAGAGCTATGATGGTCTCAGCTATTGCATTTTTGGTGACTCTGGACCAGCCGTCTGACAGGTGGCCCTAAAAACAGCAAGCGCAATACAATACATGAGAATATGAAATTTACGACGAAGATGGCGACTGTGGTTCTCTATCAAATTAGGCACTCAGAGAGTTAAAGGGAAAGAGACAGTTCACCCCAAAGATCGGGGGTCCTAGCTCCTTGATTGTTTTGGTGCGAGTTGCCTTGTTTTGGAGATATCGGCCGTAGAGATGTCTGCCTTCTCTCCAATATAATGGGACCATGTGACACTCGGCTTGTGGTGCTTAAAACGGCAAAAATGTACTTTTGGAAAAACTCAACAGCAACGTCTCTTTCCAGAAATCATGACTCGGTTACTCAAGATAATCCACAGAGCTTGTAGAGAGCAATTTCATGTAGGAGCAATGGTTGAAAGAAAATAGTTCCTTTGTGATTATTGTGTGCTCTACAGGTAAGAGGAAAAATAAGAATTTTTTATTTTGTCCCTTTGAACAGTGAGAACTTACCGCTGCCATGTCTTTGACCAGCTTTATGATGATCTCTGCTATCTGTGGAGGAGTGGAGCCTTTCATCCACCAGTGGCTCTCCCCCCTGCGGATGTAGCTGATTGTGAAACGGGCATAAATATGAAAAATCAAAAAGGACTTTGCCATTTTGCCACAAGCTGCCATAATAACTTCTCAAAATTTTGATTAGGCCCAGCAGAAAGTAACTCACCTGGAGTTGAAGATCATGGGCAGCGTGACGGTGGTGACTCCTTTGCCCGCGGCCATGCCGGCTGTGCCAGAGATGGTGGTGCCTTTGGCCTTCAGCTGCACGGTGAGGGCTTTTGCGATGCAGCCCAGGAACATGTCGAGGATGCAGAGCTTGTTCCAGTCGCCCTTCTCCGTTGAGTGGATGATGTCGCTGATGTCCGCCGGTGGCAGGGCCTTCACCCCGATGATGCTGGCAAGTCTCACTGGCGTCACCTCCGGAAGGACGCGTCTGAGCAACGATGTGACCTGAGATGAAGGAAGAGCAGATGGCAGACAAGAACATCATTTGTATAGAATCGCGAGGTGTTTACCTCAACTTGTACACAGAATAAACGCTTACAAAACAAGTTATTTTGAAAGTTACACCTGAACAATAACTCCCAAGCCACGTCTTGGTCGGCAGTAATGCGGCGAGAAACAGGCAACAGGCCAGGAAATAAAGGACAGAAGAAGAAGACTGACAGCTAATTTGCAATATTGTACGATATTACATTCCCATTTCATATGCAATATTAGTTTCATTAATCTATGTGCAACATAACTTTCTTCTACTTATTCAATATCATTGACAATACCTCTCTCAATATCATGTTCAATATAACTTTTCTATTTTAGTTTCCATTAGGCACTGGCATTAGTATCACTTCTTCTTATGTATTTTTTAACTCTTGTATTTAGTCTTTGTTGATGTACTTTACTTTTTCTTATTCAGTTGAATGTTAGTTGACTTTATTTATTTATTTACTTTAATTTACTTATTGTGTTTTCTTTTGCAATGGTGTCAGTATTATTTCTTTCACACTTAATTGTTATTCTATTGTTCATATACATTTATATTTTTATTTTATTGTTTTTTGCTAATCTTCTGTTGTAATCTGGCACAAGAATTTCCTTTGGGTTTAATAAAGTTCTATTTGATCTTATCAAACATAGATGTAAACCGTCCCGGTGCCGTCCACTTCACCCACCTGTCTCTGAACTCTCGGGGAGGCCGTGTGCAGCAGAGAGAACAGGTCTTGCATGAGCGTTAGCTGCTGAGCGAGGTACTGGCGGCCCACGTTGGAGCCACTCAGAGCCAGGACCATGGACAGGAGCTCGAAGCAGTAGGCGTCCGAGGAGGCGTCGTCGTCACTGGGCTGGGAGTTGGCGTTCTCTTTGCTGGAGATGGCGTGCTCCCACTCCTCCCTCACACGCGTGGCCTCCATACGGATGGCCTGGACGATGTGCGCGCACACCTGAGAAGAGTATGCACGTTAGGTAAGAGGGCTGAGATTATAATAGCTCCTACTGTTAATAGTTTAAAGAACTGAGTAATGACCTGTTTCTGGAGGTTGGTGAGTTTGCTCCTGCTGAAAATGATGCCCACCATGTGCTCTTTAAGGTCCGCGTCAGATGGAGCCTATTCATAAAAACGTACAAGGTGTAAAACGTCAGGCTGAAGGTCAGTAAATATTTCGGTTTAACAGCACAGGTAAACTGTCACGGTGCAGACCTTGTCCTCTCCCTCGGGTGATGAAAGAAGGTTTTTCTCCTCCTGCTCTGGAGTCGGCTCTGCATCTCCACAGATGAGCTTTCCAAAGACCTAATTGAGAACAACAAAGTAAACATTAAAGCTTCCAAGAGGCTCCAGACATTTGTCAGGTGATCACGTATGGAGGAAGCAGTCAGACGGACCTGTGAGGTGATGAGGCGAAACACTCGGAGAGTCTCGGCCTCGCAGTTCTTTTGCTGGGCCATGCTGGCTGAGATCTGTCCCAGAATCTTGATGCTCTCGCCCTCTTTCCAACCCAGGACCTTGACCTGGCGCACCCTCAGGGTGTTCTCCGGACCTTTCAACTCCACCTTGATCACATGGTGGTCCCCTCCAGGGAGCTCGCTTGTCACCCAGCCCATGTGACGCGAGTCCAGGTCAACCTTTCAATGTAAAGGCAGGGGGATGTTCACATTGTTCTGCTACATGTGCATGTAGATCTGGAGTGTATTTTAATAATAGATTAAGGAGCACCTTATTAAAAACAACCTACCAACGTTATCCCTATCATTTCTGCACTTGGAGTTATTGTTATTCGGACAAGAGACAAAAGAATCTATATACACAGCTTTACATATAGACTAGACTTAAAGCCGATTACACTGTATTCCCACATTACTACCAAAGCAACTGACCGTACCTGTTTGATTCTGCAGAGATCCTCTACTGCTTTTCCACATAAGAATGTAACTGATGTGACTTTGTTCTGTGAATATGACAAACATATTATTATCAATTCCACCTTGGTCTAAACTTTGCATTTGCACAACAACAATGCTGCTGCTGCCCCCTTACCCCGATGTCTCTGGAGTTGTCCACATGAACAGTCACATTGGAGGCGTTAATGCCCTTCACGCAGCTGATGGTGATGCTCTTGGTCTTGTTCTTGTCCTCGTCTCCAGATTCCCAGAAGGTCTCCGTGGAGCCGTCTGTAAGGCTGCCAATCATGGCAGGACGACTGGACGTCTTGATGTCTACAACGCTGGTCAGATCCTTCAGACAGGTCACCAGGCAGAGATCCTATTATCACACATAGTCAGGTTAGGGCATGTTAATGTAACTGTTCAATCCGTGTTCACCAACAGGAGACAGATCTAAAGTAAGTAAGTGACTGTTTTCTTGCCTGGCTCATTGCTTCGTAGCCTGACTGCACGCTGATGTTGAAGCTCTCCTCGCTGTCTCCATCGTCCGACTTGGACAAGATATTGTTGATGTGATGGAAAACGTTGCTCTGGTGGAGGAACTGGTGGTCGGACTGCTTGAACTTGAGACTCCAGCACCTGGAACAATAAGTCACCAAGATACATTTCCCTTAATATGCACATGAATCTCAGAACTGGTATCAATGGAAAAAGAGGCAGTGATAATTAAAAATAGGACGACTCTCTTATCTTTCTGCCAGTTTAATTAAGTACACATGTCAAACATATTCCCAAAAAGACAAATCTGTTCAAGTATAGTTTGAAATCAATCCATCAAAAAAATGTTGGCTGGTGGGTTGGTGGGTATTTTAATCATTCAGGAAGTGTACCTAAGCGCCATCTGCTGAAGTGAGCTGCCACCGGGAAGGGACATCATGAGGTCAGAGATGGTCTGAAGGAGGCGGTGAAAGGTGTGGGGGAGAGGATGAGCTGCCTCCCCGGCAATAACAATGTCTGACAGTGGGTGTTCACAAACGCCAAGGTCTCTTTCCTGTGGAGCTCAGAGCGGAGAAGTTCACAGTTAGAATACGCTACAACAGAGCGAGTAAGTAACGTTGCATGGTTTTTGGTGTTTAACCACTCGTTACCTGTTCCACGTTTTCTTTGTTCCCCTTGTTCTCATCGTCTTCCTCGTCCTCAGGTTCAAAGGGCGATGGGGTGAGAGATGCCACAAAATGCCAAAGGATGTCGTGCAGAGAGGTGGTCTGGATCACATTGCACAGCAGCCAGTTGAAGGCCTGATGGGGACACCAAGAGAAAATCATGCCAATTAGTCTTCTTACAAGTATACAAATCTAACTGATTAACTAACAATATCCAGCCAACTAATTGCCTATAACCTTGATTCACTGCTGGATAAATAGCAATGATTAAAGCAAGACCAAGCTCAGAGATTCAGAGAGATATTGCTGCCTGTACCTCCATGGCAAACACCCTGCAGGCAGACTTCCTCAGTGCATGTCTCATGGCCACCTCCAGGCCCTCCAGGTCATGGTGCTGGATAACGAAAGCCAGGACAGGCCACTGGAAGTTCCTCTCCCCCTTACTGAGGGAGCCGTGGGCCGAGATCAGCCGGGACAGCTCAGGGGACGGGTGACGTAACAGGGAAGATCCCACCTCTTCAAGGGGCAAAGAGCGGGTTGATGTTACCGATGATGCTGTGGCGCATTAATACTTAGATATCACATCTCGAATGAACACGTGCGATTACCTGCGTCACCACTCTGGACCCTGCGTCTGGGCACGGCTTTGACCCGGGCCGGAGAGGGCGAGTGTTGCTTGTCATACTCTGATGCTACGACTGAGTAAGACCTCTGAAACACTGTTCGTTTCGCCGTATCGCTGTCTGTGATTGGACTGGATTCCAGACTGAAAGAAAGCATATGAAACAGTCACAGTTTAGCCTGTAACACAGAGCTCATAAAGACATCGACCCTTCGTAGGTTAAATGTAGCACTAGAAGGAGCAAAGGTGACGACTTAAAAAGGCTAATTTCATACCACAGTTCTCTTTGCTTGACAAACGAAAATTTAATTCACCAGAAAACGGAGCGGCCAGACTCTTGTGTACTATATACAATGAGGCTGATCATGATAAGGAGGCATAACAATTAAGGCACACTTTCTGAACAAAATGCTTGCGGTCACTATGCACAGTAGGGTGCAGGGGAGAGAGTGGGAGTCGTCACAGAACTATCCGTACAGTGTATACCTGCAATGACAATTGACATGCATTATCTGCTGGTCTGCTCTGAACATGGGAAAATAACTTCAATATCTCAGTAGCGGCTACCTGATCTGCCATGACTTAAATACCATGTATGTATGCATGTCTATGTCATGCATAAACAGTAAATGGTGTCTGAAAAAATCCGTGATAGTAACATCCGCAATTCACTCATTTTGTGTTCATGCAGAGAAGTGGAAGTGATGAAAAGCATCGTACTAAGACGTCTTACCTGGGCGGCATTGATTTCATGTTGCTCTCTGGTTCCTCAAACACATTGGGACAGGCATCAGGGGTGACTGATATGTAAGGTGCAGGAACAGATGTTGAGCGCAAATACCTCATCTCATCTTGGAAGAGGTTATCGTCTTGGTAGGCCCCAAAGTTCTCAGTGTGTTGCCTGGGTGATGAGAGGAGAGTGACTCTAATTGTTGTAATAGCACAAGTAACTGTCAAGTTTTTTTAATCTGAAAAATCAAAACAAAGAGTTGTTAACTGAGCTGCAAGCTACCTAGCTAGTGTCTGGAGGTAGAGGCAGCCCATTTTATTGGGGAGTTCGTCCGACACGCCCTCCTTGAGGCTGGGAAGCAGCTGGGAGTGCAGGGGCCGGGGAGGGTGGTGGCACAGCATGCTGGGCTCGGCAGCACTGCTGAGGGACAGCAGGAACAAAGCGTTCGCCCGGATCACCTGGTGGGCCTCCATGGTGGGCAGTGCCCTCGGAGTCTTCACCTGCAGGGGTTTCTTCCTGGATTGCTTCACCTGGCAAAGAACCGGCAGATTGGTTTTGATTCAAGTCTAAGAGGTCAGTATGATGTGAAATGCTGAGAGGGCTTCAGTTACAGAGGGACACAAATTTAAGCACAAGTAGGTTACCTTTTCCCTGGCGGCAGTCTGTTTCTCTCTCAGGTATTTTTCCCGACAGCGATCACACACTAGGTACCAGGTGCTGCCCCCTATGCCTCCGTCTCCACAGTTCCCAGCCCAACCACCACAGAAGTGACCGATGCTGTTGTAGCCCTGGCCTCCAGCATAGCGACCGCAACCTGCCATGAAATAGGAAGGGTGTTAAAAGTTAAAATGTCTATTACCCAGTAATACAGTACCCATATTCAAAATGACAAAACTCTAACCAGAACTTCTGTATTCTCACCCGGGTGAGCCTGTCTCATGTGGTAGGTCACGGGGTAAGGGTGAGATTCGCCGCACAGCTCACAGATGGTGTCTTTCTCCGGTCCACCCATGGCGAGCTGTGCCATCTCACCGAACAGATTCCCTCTTGGACGCACCTCGGCCTTCTCCCTCTTCTTCTTCTCTTTCTTCGACTTCTTGCCGTCTTTCTCGTGCTCCTTCCTTTTCAGGATGGCGCTGGACCCCGGGCTGGGGAAAATCATGTTCTGAGTGGCTGCCTTGATGGTGGCCAGAGAGATGTCCTCCCAGAATGACACCAGATGTTGCAACGTCAACGGCAAGATCGACTTTGCCCTCATAGTCGGATGAGAAGTCATCTCGTAGGAAGTGGCCTCCCCTTTCCCCTCCTCGCACTTCTCAGGCAGTGGAGGTTCTTTCAGCATGGACAGCACCTTATTTTTGTTGATGCTTCCCATTTTGGAGATGTCCGGGCCGTGCGGCGCAATGTTAAACATGTTGAGTGCAGAGGAGATCTCTAAGGAGTGGCGGTTCTTTAGCTTGTTCTCCTTCTCCTCGGCGCCCTGTCCTCCCAGCGAGCTGCGGATGGGGGCGTGCTCTTTGGTTAAGTCTGGGTTGAACTTGAGGAAGGAGGAGCAGGCCATGGCGTCGTGGACAATACCTTCATGCCACAGGAAAGCTGCGAAGACCGCTCGCGAGCATTCGGCCACAGAAGGTGACATGGCCTGTTTGGCAGGCTCCGTGGCCCTTGAAGTACTCTCACCTTTGAACAGAGGCCCAGATTTTTCCTTCTTAGGGCGCGTGTGTCGACTGGAGGCTTTGCGGCTGACTTTGGGCGAAGCGCGGGTCTCTAGTTCCTCCTTGACGGGGGCTTTGCCGATACTGAAGTGCACCTTGCATGAGCCATCTTCAGAATTTTGAGCCTCCGCGTTCTCGTCGTTGCCATCCTCTGAGAGCAGAGCACTGGAGGTGCACACCTCCAACACTTCACTGTGTAGGTTCTCCTGGGTCACATGTGGAGAGGGAACACGGTTCTCTGCATTGCCAATCACTTCATTATTTGGATCTTTAGGAGACAGTTTAGGTTTTGGAGAGGTAGACCTGCCTCTAAGCGGCTCTGTAAGTGGGACCTTCTTCTTTCTAAGTGTGTCTGGGTCCAGAGTGTACGAATCGGATTTGGATCTCTCTCTTGGAGGGTCCAGCCGGGCTTTAGAGGAAGGGCTGACTTTAGGTGGGAGGTTTTTGTCATGATGGGCTGAAGAGGAGTGCTGGGAGGGGGTGCTAGAGGGACTAGACCTGCCTGAAGAGGATAAGCCTTTTTGTTTGGGAGAGGAGGAGCGAGAGCCGGGATTCGGGGACTCAGCTCGGAGTCCCGGGGTTCTACCATCTGCCTTCAGGGCTTGCAGGGTGTTGTGATTGGGCGAATGAGAGCGGCTGTGAGAGTCGGACCTCAGTTTGGCCGTGTCCGACCGCAGGATGAGGGCTTCGTTGGCTGAGAGGCCGCCCTCCCCTGTCTTGCTCCTGCTCTGCTCGGATGAGCGGCTTCCCCGACCCTCCTGTTTGGGCGAGCGGTTCTCCTGCCGGTGTTTGGAGGCTGGGGACATGGGCCGCGCTCCGGGCATCAGGTTCCCTCGCTCACCTGAACGTTAATAATTCAAACACAGTTACAACATGAAAGAGGAGTAAACCTGTGGTAAGAGTGTAACCATTTAGCTCTAAGCGCAACACTCAAAACCTGAGAGGACAAAAATGTAATGCTCAGAATACAAGGTAAAATGCAATGCAATGAAGATAACTAGTGGACCATGGAAGAGCTGATGAAAGATGGATTCCAGCCCAGTCCTGGGACCTCTCCTACTGATATTGGACCTAGTTAGTGTAACTTTTAATAGCCTAGTAGTTTAGTCTAGTAACCACAAACATCCTGAATCAATAGCATTTAAGGTCCACCTATTTTAAAACTGAAATTTGAATCAAAAAACTCATATGTTTTTATTACGCCCTTTTACTTTTTCCTCTTTATTACAATATAGTGTTTGGCCACATCCTACTTTAGGACCACAGTTTTTAAGCTTTGCATCAACACAAAATGTTTTTCACAAGCCATCATAAAAAAAAGTTATTTTTTCTTGTGTTCGTGCCCACCCTCTGTTCAGTCTGAGGGAGGCATGCATGCTGTGATTACCCACCCTTTTGCCTCAAAGCGAGAGATGAGAGAGCAGTACCATGCCCAGCCACGGACACATTGCTTTTGTGCACACGCTCGCGAGAAGCAAGGCGGCGTGATGAACCATCTACAGCGAAAAACAGTGGAGCAGGTAAACAAGCAAGGCATGGAACGCAAGGGGGTCACCACAGAGAGAGAGAGACAGACATAGACAGAGACAGAGAGACAGACACACAGAGAGAGACAGAGAGACAGACATAGACAGAGACAGAGAGACAGACACACAGAGAGAGAGAGACAGAGAGACAGACACACAGAGAGAGAGAGAGAGAGAGAGAGAGAGAGAGACAGACAGAGAGACA